TATATATATATATATTAAGATATGAATGAAGATGGAAATTATAGTGGAAACAATCCTAATTTGAGAATCAAAAGGTCCTTGACTCCTTGTTCTTCTTGCCTCGGATCGAAATATAATGCTGGTCCTTTGATAATAGTAGCAATTTTGTACTTTTATCTTGTATTTTTGTATTTTGTTTGTATCTTAAAGTTGATCAAATGATGGACACAGCTAACTGAATCCGCTCATTAAGAGTCTAAGACCAAATATGATTACTAGATTAAAATAAATCCAACTTAACTATTTACGTATTTTTCAAACTTTTACTAAATGTATGTACCATTTAGTCAAGGTTGCTTATTATGTCGTATTAGGTTTCCGGAAATTAAAGTGCATAAATATAGATTAGACAGTTTAGTCAAATTAAAAGGCATTCTCGATATAGTTTATTTATAACATAAAATGAGGAAAGATAAAAAATTTGTGAAGTATCATTATACATGTGAGAATTCTAAGAAACAACTATGCATCGATACTAAACAATATAAAATCAGCTATGTTGAATTAAGTCGGCCTAAAAATACTTTTAATACAGTGTAATAATTTTTTGGGGGGTCAAACCTGCACAATTTACAATCTCCTCCTTAAACTAAGTTTTACATGACCCACTAACAAACTCCTGCAATAATGGTCCATCAACAAGCCTCTCGAACTAAGCTTCGAGTGGCCCATTATGACGATTCACAAATCAATTCTATTGACATTGTGTGAGCTTATGCATGCACGCAGGGCGGATCCATGATTTAAACCCTACGGGTTCAACTTTTAAAATTTTAGCATTGAACCCTGTTGAAGATAGGAGTAGTCACGTGCCAATCACGTGAGTGTAGTTAAGTCGGTTAAGAGGGATTAGTTAGTTATAACTAATTATGGGATTGGTTAGTTTAGGTGATGTAAAGCTGTAGATTAGATACAATTGTAGAGGTGTATATACACATAGTATATGCTCATTGTAAAGATAGAGCTTCAATAATACAAGCCAGTTTTCTCTCAAATAGAAAAATATCTCTAGAACCTTCTCTTATGTTTTCCGCCATTGTCGTCTTCACTGAAGCTCTGAAATCTTCATTATGGTATCAGAGCATGGATGATAGATTCGTGTTCACTGAAATTGTCATTCCTCGTTTTCTCCGATAAATTTTTGTTGATCGATTGTGATTTTTGCAATCGATTAAGCTAGGGCACACAGCTTTTCTACAATTTGCAACTGAAAACTCCGTTAATTGTGGAATTCAAAACTTAGTTTACTTGAATTGATAGCCATGGCAATTGGAGAAGAAGCTTTAGCTGGAACCAGCACAGGAACAACCGCAATAACCATCGATCATCATCACCCTCTGTTTTTACAGCCAAGCGACACCCCAGGTAGCTCCTTGATTTCAATTCAGCTAACTGGAACTGAGAACTATGCATTATGGAGTAGATCTATGAAATTGATGCACTAAGGATAAGTTCGATCAGTCGTTGCATGAACTTTGGGAGAAGTGTAATGCAATAGTTTTATCTTGGATTATAAATGCTGTGAGCAAGGAATTGCTCAGTGGTATTGTGTACAAATCAAGTGCACATAAAGTTTGGACAGATTTGAAGGATAAATATGATAAAGTGGATGGATCTCGCATTTTTTTTTCTGCATAAAGAAATTGTAACTTTGTCGCAAGGAATTTCTACTGTGACAGCCTATTTTTCAAGGTTGACAGATTTATCTATTTTTCAAGGTTGACAGATTTATGGAAAGAATATGATGCCTTGATGCCATGTCCTGGATGTGATTGTCCAGAATCTAAGAGCTATTCAGAGCATTTTGAATATCAGAGGTTGCTACAGTTTCTGATGGGCCAAAATGAGACATATGCACAGCCTAGGAGTCAAATTTTGATGATGAGCCCAGTACCTTCTGTCAACAAGGCGTATTCCATGGTAGTTTCTGAAAAAAGTCAAAGAAATCTGGGAAAATCTGCAGAGGCATTAGATATGGGAGACAGTACAGCATTGTTCACTAATAAAGGAGGCATGATTATAGGAAACACTTATAAGCCCGGAAGAAACAATCTGTTTTGTGATTACTGTAACTATAAAGGTCACACAAGAGAAACATGTTAAAAAATACATGGCTATCCAAATGATTTCAAAATGAGGAGGAAAACCAACAATTTTCCACAAAGAACAATGGTTAACACCACAACACATGAGGGACAGCAGTACATGGGAAAAGCAGCAGCAAATGCAGTATCTCAGGAGGGACAGTAGATGCTGAACTCCCCAATTAGAAATTCAACACCTACACTACCTCAGCCAATCATGTTCACTCAGGAACAATGTGATCAAATTTTAAAATTGATCAACAAAGATACAGGTGACAATTCAGAGCATTTTGCAGGTATGACTAAGGTCACTACACTACCTGATAAAACAAAGAATGAAAACTGGATAGTAGACTCTGGTGCAACCAATCACATGGTTCGCACCAGAGAATTGCTTGACAAGATAAATACTAATAGCCTAAAGTCTGGATCTAAGGTTCATTTACCTGATGGTACCTCACTAGATATTGCTTGTACTAGAGAAAGTAGGATTGGTGAATGTGGTGTTATTAGGAATGTACTATACATTCCAGATTTTAAATACAACCTGTTGTCAGTCTTTAAGCTTACAAGGGACTTACAATGTTTTTTATCTTTCTATCCTGACTTCTGGATCATGCAGGACCTTCACAATGGGAAAGTGAAGGGGATAGGTAAAGAGCTTGAAGGTTTGTATAATCTGCAGCATCAGCAGGACAAAGCCAAGGTTGCAACTGTGCAAACACATGATCATTCCAAAGAAGAAGAGGATTTAGGGGTCTGGCATGGGAAACTTGGACATGCCCCTAATAAAGTGGTGAAACAAATCCTAAACATAAAATTCAAGATCAACAATGATGGAATTAGAGATTGCACAACATGCCCTCTAGCTAGACAAGGAAGATTACCATTTCCAAAGAGTACAAGTAGATCAAATAAATATTTTAAGATGATTCATGTAGATGTAGGGGGTCCATATAGAGTAGCAGGTCACAATGGATACAAATCCTTTCTTACTATAGTAGATGATTACAGTAGAATGATATGGGTTTACTTGTTCAGACTTAAGAGTGATGTGATTGTATGCTTGAAACAATTTTTTGCTTTAATAAAAACTCAATTTGGAGGAACAGTTAGAATTCTGACAAGTGATAATGGGACTGAATTTTTCAATTCTGAATGCAGCAGTTTGTTCAAATTGTATGGAATGATTCATTAAAGTTCATGTGTCCATACCCCACAACAGAATGGGGTAGTGGAAAAGAAACATAGACATATGCTAGAGGTGGCTAGGGCAATTAGACTGCAAGGTCATTTGCCTCTCATGTGTTTGGGGTGAATGTGTGCATGCAGCGGTTTATATCATTAATAGACTTCCCTGTCAATGCTATCGGGGAAGTCCTCATTTGAGATGATGTATGGGAGAGCACCATCTTTACAGCATATGCGGATCATAGGATGTCTGTGCTTTGCCAAAATTCTAGTAGGGGGAGATAAGTTTGCAGCAAGAGCCATTGGAGCTGTTCATATGGGATATTCTTCATCTCAGAAAGGATATAGACTATATAATCTCTTGACTAACTTCTTTTTGTAAGCAGGATGTAAAGTTCATGGAGAACATATTTCCTTTCCAGCTTTTAAAGGAAGGAAAGTTGCAGGTTTTTCCCAATGGAGTCATAGAATCTATTACCGGCAATGACACAACAACACCATCTCTTTCATCTACAGATGCAGATCCTCCACATGAAGCTGCAAGTCCTCCTTCTGCAGGTTCCAACATGAGACAGTACCTGCTGCAGACTCACCATCTTTGCCTTCACCAGATTTTGAAGACATACAACAGCCACAACAGCTAGAAGGAATACTCTCAGAAGTAGTCCATCCTTCACACTCCGACAACCAGCCCAGAAAATCAAGCAGGAATGTGAAAGAACCTGCCTGGATGCAGGACTATGTGTGCAATAGTTCATTGGCAAGCTCAACCTCACAATCATCTTGCAAGTATCCAATGCAAGATTTTTTGGGCCATGATGGTATTTCAGTCAAGTACAAATCTTATCTTTCCAAGATAACTAGCTTGAAGGAACCTGGCAGCTATGAAGAGCAGCAGCAGATCCTCAATGGGTAGAAGCTATGACACAAGAGTTGAATGCCCTCAAAGAAAATGGGACCTAGTCCTTGGTAAATTTGCCAACAGGGAAAGTTCCCATTGGTTGCAAATGGGTATTCAAAATAAAATATAGAGCAGATGGGGAAGTTGAAAGATACAAAGCTCATTTGTTTGCGAAAGGGTATAACCAGATGGAAGGCCTCGACTACCAAGAGACTTTTTCTCTTGTAGTCACAATGGTAACAGTCAGAGTGGTTCTTGGCTTAGTAGCAGCACACAATTGGAATTTGCATCAGATGGGCGTATACAATGCCTTCCTTCAGGGCGACCTTACTGAAGAAGTGTATATGTGCTTGCCCCAGGGATTTCACAGCAGGGGGAGAAAGTATGTAGGCTGCATAAATCCCTCTATGGATTGAAGCAAACTTCTAGACAGTGGAATTTGAAACTGACTGAGGCCTTGATCAATTCAGGATTTGTGCAGAGTCGATTTGATTATTCCTTGTTTACGAAAAGGCAAGGGATCAGTCTAGTGATCATTCTAGTATGTGTGGATGATCTCCTTATAACTGGGAATGATCATTGCCTAATTTCAGAAGCAAAGTCTATATTTCAAAGCAACTTCAAGATCAAAGACTTAGGGGAGATGAAAATTTTTTTGGGAATTGAGATAGCAATATCAAGAGAAGGAATACTGATGAATCAGCAAAAATTTGCAATGGAATTGATCACTGATCTTCGAATGGCAGGATCAAAACCAGTAGCCACTCCAATGGAATGCAATCAGAGATTCACAACAGTAGAATATGATCAACACTTGGAGCTGAAAGATGATGAGAAGCTGCCAGATGCAGGGCCATACCAAAGATTGGTTGGGAAGCTGTTTGTACCTTACTATGACAAGACCAGACATTTGTTATGCAGTGCATGTGTTGAGCCAATTTATGCATTGTCCAAAGAAGTCACACATGGAGGCAGCAATAACAGTTGTAAGGTACATAAAAGGGGCACTAGGTCTTCGTCTACTGATGAGCTCAAAGCCGTGCCCAAAACTCACAGCATTTTGTGATGCTGACTGGGCATCATGTCCAGTGTCCAGAAAGTCTGTGACGGGGTATGTGATGAAGCTAGGAGATTCTTTGGTGTCTTGGAAGTCAAAGAAGCAGTGCACGATATCAAGAAGCTCAGCAGAAGCTGAGTACATGAGCATGGCTGCTGCAGCCTCAGAACTTCTATGGTTGACAGGATTATGCAAGGAATTGGGTGCAGAGGTTGAATTGCCAGTGGAGCTGCTCTGTGATAGCAAGGCAACAATTCAAATTGCTGCAAATCCTATATTCCACGAACGAACGAAGCATATAGAAATAGACTTGCACTTCATCAGAGAAAAAAATCCAACAAGGAATCGTCAAAACAAGATATGTGATGTCTAGAGATCAAGAAGCAGACCTGTTCACAAATGCCCTAGGAAGATCGCAACATGATTACCTGATAGGCAAGCTAGGGGTGCTGAACTTGTTTGCACCATCTAGCTTGAGGGGGAGTGTTGAAGATAGGAGTAGTCACGTGCCAATCACGTGAGTGTAGTTAAGTCGGTTAAGAGGGATTAGTTAGTTATAATTAATTATGGGATTGGTTAGTTTAGGTGATGTAAAGCTGTAGATTAGATGCAATTGTAGAGGTCTATATATACATAGTATCAGCTCATTGTAAAGATAGAGCTTCAATAATACAAGCCAGTTTTCTCTCAAATAGAAAATTCTCTCTAGAACCTTCTGTTCTATTTTCCGCCATCGTCGTCTTCACTGATGCTCTCAAATCTTCATTAAACCCACTATATATTAAAGTTATGGATTCATATCTACTATTTTTGCAATTTTAATAATTTTTACATATAAATTTTTACTCTGCATCACAAGTTATGGGTTCAACTACTAACAAGAAACTTTGTTGGCTTAACCAATAAATTAAATAAGTTTTAACTATTCATGTCTTTTTTATAAAAAGCCCTCGAATGCAGAAATCACAAAAGATGGAAAGACAAAGAAGATCAAATGAAGACCGACCAAATCATCCGGGCGGCAGCTGCATCATACGGAATGACAAGAAGAAGTCACTGGACAACTATAATTAAGGGGAGTAGAGTATTAATTCGTCGAAAGAGTAACATGTATGCAGCAAAAATTGTGCTGCCACATGCTTTTTATTACAAAACAATGCTAAATCTAAATCTAGTCCATAATATATTTATTTCATAGACGACCACTGCTGCTTCTTTAATTTCCTCTTATATGTAGTAAATTGATCAATCGAATAAGAATCAATTGAATTGATGGTATCATCTATTTTGTTCAATAGCAAGTCACATGATTGCCATGTGAAGCTATTAAACTGAAAAATTCTATAATAATTAGCAAGTCAAAGTATCATTTTGTAATATTTTATAATCATATTAATTTCAATAAATAATCTAACGACATTACTTATTGATGGAATTTAGTGAAAGAACTTACATTAATTCTGTACATGAAAAACACACACTCACATAGAAGAAAGAAAAAGGAAATTAAGAAACAGTAGTGAAAGTGGACAATACAGTAGAAATTAATTATCTAATCTAGCTTCTAAATCTCTGTGCAATTCCGTTTTTCAGGTTGAGCACCATTGCTTGTGACCAGGAACCCAATTAGGACATTTTGGGCTAAAATAATTAGCAATAACTCTCGAATTCAGAAGCTCAATAATTGGTGCATACTTCACACACCGTGGCGCTTTGTACTGATTAATTGAAGCACCATTGCTAATAGCATAATCCATAAGCTTATCAAATGTGCCATTTTCGACAACCTTTATTTCCAAAGGTCCAATTGACTTATCCGAAACACGACATTGTCGATAAACACTGTTTAATGATTCTTCTATTGTGAGGCAACAATCTTGAAAAACTGTTGTAGGGATTATTGTTTCAGAACTTTTGTTGATTTCCCAGTACAAGACATAGTGTCCTGGGATTGCTGACGTGTCAGCAAAACTTGTGTATTCAGTGAGAGATGCTTCAAATGGTAAAAGATGGATTGATGCTTTTACAACAGCTTCATGCAACTCAACTTCATCTGTTTTGTCTGAGTCTATGCTTAATGCAACATTCTTTCTGCATACGAAATGAAATTGAGGTGCCTTGTTCTTGAATCCGGCAACTTTAAGTATGTCACCAACACGATAACGATACAGTCCTGAAAAAAAAGATCATTAATTGCTAGCATCAAAATTTTGTCTCCGGAAAATTAACAAAATCTACTGTCACAACTTGACTTTTACTAGCTCTGTTCCATTTTATCCCGAACCTAGTAGCTTTGATTCAAACCTTACATTTGTCTTACGAAATTCCTGGAATATGTACAAATTAATAATTTAGAACCTAATAACTTTAAAAACAAACTAGAATCCCATGATTGGAATACTCGATCACATTAATTCCAGAATTTTCAGTGTAAACTTGGACATAAAATCTTCATGTTTTTGAAATAAAATTCACATATTTAGAAATAATTAATAATTTCAAGTTTTTGAGGTAAAAGTATTTTGTACAATTCACAATAGCTAATAATTTAACATATTTCATAAATATCTTAATTATTTATTTAAAATTGTGGTCAAAGTAAACTTTCTTTGACTGTAATAATTAGTAATAGTGTCACATAATATGAACAGAGAAAGTAAATTTTACCTGCATAAGTGGTGACCACGAGCTCGTATTCATGTCCAAGTTCAACATCAACAAGATCTACCAAATCACTTTTATCATATGTGTTACCTTTTTCTGGTCCTTCATCTTCACGAGCTACGGGTAAGAACTCGAAATAACCCATGGTAGGTATAAGGGTATAAGCAACTTCACTTGGTTTGCAAAGAGGATTAAGATTTATACCAAAGTAGCATTCAGAAGAAGCATACATGGTACAAACAAGTGGTAAATCATTGCCATAATAATTGAGAGTCGGAATGTATTGTGACATAGTTCCTGTCACAATTACATCGACGTACTTAGTATTAGGCCATAATCTTGGTATTATCCCTTTCCATGATTCTTTACTACATTCGGTTGCAATAAATTCAGCAAGCTTGGGATTTGGTTTAAGAATTTTCAACACAGCTTCTCTTACCTCAGGGTCTGTAATTTGAGGATTTAGACTCCCAGTTTTAATATCGTTACAAAGAATAGGCCAGTGCTTTTCGAGAAATCGAATAGCACGAATAAATCCAGAAGCAAAAACAGCACCAACACGAAGAACTTGAGTATTTTGGCAAAGTCCACAAAGAATTTGGGAATACATGCTTTGGTAGGAATCAAGACAAAGAATTGTTTCATTTGGACTAGTGTAATTTGTGTAAGGATCATAAGGTCTTTTCTTGAAATATGAACTTTTGTAGTAGCTTGTTAAAACTGGACGAGCTAATAGACCACCTGGAGTTTTGGCTTCTGATTTTATGAACAAAAAATACATTCCTTTGCCTTTGTGTAAATCAGGCACAAATTGATCCATTACTGGCATTAAAAGGCTGTAGAGTAATGACCTTCTCCCTAGCTCTTCTTCAACTGTTGGCATCAATTTTCTCTCTCCCCCGGACGTGCCAGAACTATTAAAAACAAAGGAAAAAAATTATTGGTGCATAAATAAATTTGTACAATTATTGGTTAGAGAAGATAACTTTATTTATATCACGTACAACTCAAGTAGTGTAGCTTGATGCATATTTAATTCCATTAAGAAACAAAAAATGTTGGTACATACTAAATGAACATGCGAAACAAGCATTTTTAGCTAGTGAGTTCAGAATAAGTCCAGTTCACGTGTATTCTATATATACAACCAAATTTTTTTGGGTATATGTCCTTATATATGAATCGAGTCGAAAGCAATGGCTTGATCAGTTGACCTATTAAATCCACTCAAGATCCGCCTCCATAACACAAACAAAGTTATTGATATGAACTAACCTTGTCAAGAACTCGGAAATTGGTTGAGAACAAAGGATAGATGAACGATCACCATCAGCAATACGATCAATATCAGGCTTGAGATCCTCATATGTAACAACAGGCATGATTTTTTTGAAGGTTTCATAATCAGTTTTGCCATTTAGGCCATGCCTTTGCAAATACTCAACTCCAGCATTACGAGAAAGTATTTCGTTTAGAACCTTTTTTTGAACTTCATCGGCATTTGTAGTAATATTTTCGAAGAATTGAAGAAGTTTTTTGTTGTTTTCATCAAAACTACCATCATCTGACAAGGCAGAAGGAGCCTCTGGCATGGTTAAGATTTAAAACAGAAAACAAAATGAAAGAAAATAGAGAGAGAGATGGGGAAAAGTAGTGGAGTTATGATTGGAACTTCTGTTGAAGAAAGAGAAGACTACAGAAATATATATAGAGGAAATATGGGGCCATAGGGGGTGTGAACCCCCTGTTGGAAACAAAGAATTCAATGAAACAGTAAACAAAGTCTAGGGGTAAATTCGTAACTCCATTTGCAATATCCTTTTTTATAAAATTTTGACTTTTCTAACTCCAAACAAAGATTGGGTTACAAGTAAAAGAATGAAACGGCTTAAGGTTAATCTACGGGCAAAAAATTACCCGAATTTAGTGCATGTAACAAACTAGTTCCTTCAGGTGGGGAAAAAAAAACTAGTTCCTTCACTTTCCCTCTGCTCCACTTTTGTGATTATTATTTTGTTATTAGTCCGTACAAAAAAACAGACATAATGACAAATTTTTTATAATCACATAAATATTATTACATGTTAAGGATCAATAGTGTCAAATTTTTTATAATTATACAAATATGTAATACATATTTTTAGACCATAAATTTTAAAAGTCTTATTTTTTTTTAAACTTCATATTGAGTCACATGACAACAAATAAAGTGGAATAGATAAAGTATCATTAATATGTGTTAATGCTAAATTGGGTATCGAATTAAAGAAAGAATTTTTTTTTGACATATGTCAAAAAAATGTAAACAGATTTGACATAAGTTTCAAAATATAAAATAGCGCCACTTTTTTAGAAAAATTATAGAAAAAATGTTTCATATGAAATGAACAAACTGTGACAAAAAAATGGAAACAGACAAAGTGTGTATTTTTATTATGATTATGACCAAGTTAAGATTAAAGTGGAGGTTTGGAGCAATAATGAAGTTGTCTCACGGGTTCAAGCTATTTGCATCAGGGTAGTTTACCTACATCACACTCTTTAGGGTGTGGCTCTTCCCAAGATCCTGTGTAAACGTGAGATGCTTCGTGCGTCGAACTGCCTTGTTCGAATATATTAAAATAGGAATAGTTATTAACTAATTATATTAAATAAAAGAAATTTATATCATATACTTATTAGTTTGATCCTTGACGCATATACGCAGTGGCGAAGCTAGGAATTTCTTTAAGGGTGTTCAAATTTAAAAAGAGTGAAAAAAATTTACGACAAAGAGTGTTCAATATGTGTTATATACCTCTAAAACGTAATATTTTACCTACCTACACAATACAATTTTCAGTTGACCACCCTTACAAGCATGTGGCTTTCGCCACTGCATATACGAGAGATTAGTAAATATTTTGTCGTGCATAAAGACAAATTTAAGGAGGAGTTTGGGACACCGAAGCAGAAGATGATTGGAGGGGAAATTCCGAGTAAAATCGCGGTAAAGTAAACAGGGTACATGATTGCATGTACTACGGATGCTACTTCCATTACCGGCAAGCCCATGCATTACTGCATTTTCAAGCCTTGTTTTTTTTTCCCCCCTTCTATATTTCACTTTCTAATTGTTTCTTTATTGCACCACAAAGTAAAGGGAGAAAAAGAAAAGGGAAATTTGCTTTTGTTTGAAGAGTGATATATCCTCCCCGCCGACACCCTTCGTAACAAATCTTCCAAGATTTTTTTTTTTTTTTTTTTTTGCAACATAAAATATTAGCCACTCTAAAAAATACTAGCCACTTAAAATATTAATTTTGTTATTTGTCTTAATACGGATTAAAAAGTGTCGAACTACATTGTAATGGCCATTAATTTATTTAGATGTAAATTCGTGCACTACTATTCAAATTATAGTCTCTTAACTACTGGATCCTCTCCTTGAAAACTTTTTTTAATCAATTAGATGTGCATGAGCCGAAGCCAACAATTTTGCTAAGGATGCTCAAAGTTTAATATACATATATGTATCGAAAATATATTTTGATCTACGTCCGCAGTATAATTTTTTATCTGTTTATCCTTAAAATTAGATAACAATTAAACTTATAAGTGGTTTTAAGGATATGTGATTTCACTTGGCACAAACTGAGAAATATGAGAACTAAGGTTAGAAATTAACTCTAAAATAAAGCAAACCAATATAATGAGCGGTTATGACCTTCGAGCTGATCGCCCTCGAACCAACAGAGTATGCTAGCAAAAAGTATAAACTGAACAGTAGAGCTTTAAGAGAGAAAATGTGATGTATTGCTTTGTTATACGTGAATATGATGATTACAAAATGATTAGAATCCCCTTTATATAGTAGAGGAATTCTACTTATGGTACAATTATAAATACAGAAGAAAATCTCAAGATTGGCTAAATGTCCGGTCTTGACTCGATATGTGCCGAGATTTCCGCCACGATCCTTTCCCGATCACGGATACCTCGGCTTTCCGTTATTCGGTTTAGCAGGCTTCCTTCGATCTCACTCTGTCTCTATCTCGCTTCAGTCTCGATCACGACTGATCTCGATTTTGATTGATTATCGACTCATGAGCTTAGCAATCCATCTCTGTGTCATGGTTCGATGCAATGCAAGGTCGAGCCTTGGTCTGTCACCTCAGTTTCGATTAGCCATACAAAATTAGGGAAGCCCGATTCTGACCGTATACAGGTAGTCCCCTCATTTTTTGGAGTGTAATGACAAGAAACGAATTGAGTCTTCGAACTTCCCCTCGGTTTACCATGACGTAAGCATCATGACGCAAACGGCAGAGGTGACCGAAATGTCTCGTCGGTTCAGTTTTGTGGGCATTTAATGCGCGTCAGCCGACGGTTGGCCACTACCGATATTGAACCGTCGTTGCGAAACCAATAAATAGCCACCTTCTTCACTCTTTCAAACTTTACTTTCAATTTCCTTCATCCTAATCTTCACAGTTCTTTGTACTCTTCAAAGCTTCCTATCTCCAGATCTTTGAGTTTCTTTGTTTGTTCTTCCCAAAACACCAAATATTTCAATCTCTATTCTTCCTTGCTTAAAATGGCCAAAACATCAAAAACTATTCTGCGAAAGGAGACTGCTTCATCGTCACGGTTGGCTGGCGAGGAACCGTCGGCGGAGCCACGCCCTGAAGACTTTTTTCCCGGAGGGTGTGTTCTCGACTCTGATTTTAAGGTTGAAAAGACTTCCTCGGTGCCGGGCCGATACGAGCCGGTATCGAGGCATATATGCTCAATAACTGAAAAACTCCTCTCCCAGGTTAAAAAAGATTGCAACTGGGGTAAAAAACACGTGGTGGTGCCTGCTCCAGATGAGGCAATGACCACTCATGTGGAAGGGTTGTTAAGAGTTTATACTAACCCTTTCACGTTGGGTCCCTTGTATCCAATCATCATAGACTTCTGCGAGAAGTACGAGTTGACCCTCGGTCATATTCATCCCTCCTTCAGGAGGATAGTGATATTACTCTGTTTATTCTCAAGCAAAGTCGATGGGCTTCCCTTCACCCTCGACCACCTCATACGCCTATATAGCCCCCGACTCTATCGAGGGGGACTAATAAAGCTGCAACGTCGAGCATCTGCCTCGTTTTCTGTTCTCGAGATACATGTTGCAAGGTCCATTCCTTAAATCGATGTAGAGTCATCTATCCAAGTACCTCTGCATTTGGTCCTCTCGGACTTCAGAAGTCCTATTAACTTGGTTTACCATGAGGAGGGAATCACACTTGGCCTCTATGACCTCCGCTCCCAAACTTTTAGCCAGTTCGAGACCTGCAATAATGGCCTCATATTCGGCCTCATTGTTAGTCAATTTTATAGTTCTGATAGACTGTCTAACTATATTCCCCGTGGGTGATTTTATCGGGGTTGATCTCGATCCCCCGATTGGACACCATGAAGCCAAGAAACTTGCCCGAGCCAACCCAAACGCGCATTTTTCTAGGTTGAGCTTCATGTTGTACTTCCTCAGTATATCGAAAGTTTCCTGCAAATGCTTCAAATGGTTCTCGGCTCGTAGGGACTTAACTAGCATGTCATCAATATAAACCTCCATAGATTTCCCTATTTGTTGTTCGAACATTCAATTTACTAGGCGTTGATGGGTTGCACCAGTATTTTTTAGTCCAAATGGCATTACATTATAACAGTAGGTGCCGTACTTAGTGATAAACGAGGTCTTTTCCTAGTCTTCCGCGTTCATCTTTATTTGGTTTTACCTGGAGTGGGCATCGAGAAAACTAAGAGTCTCGTGGCCGGCCATGGGTCGATCATACAATCGATGTTAGGCAAAGGAAAAGAATCCTTGGGGCATGCTTTATTCAGGTCTTTATAATCTGCACACATTCTAAGTTTGTTTCCCTTCTTAGGGACTACTACTACATTCTCTAACCATTCGGGATATTTTACTTCCCGGATGGATCCTATTTTGAGAAGTTTGGTTACCTCATCTTTGATGAAAGCGTATTTTACCTTAGACTGAGGCCTCCTTTATTGTTTCACCGGGCGGAACTTTAGGTCCACGCTTAGTTTATGAGTAGTGATCTCCGGTGGGATCCTTGTAATATCGAGATGGGACCAGGCAAAACAATCCATATTAGCTTCAAGAAATTGAATAAGTTTTTTCCTGAGCTCGGGAGTTAACCCCGTGCCAAGGTATACCTTTCGATCAGGCAGATGCTCGATCAATATGATTTGTTCTAGCTCTTCAACCATTGACTTTGTGGCGTCAGAATCATCGGGGATTATGAAGGATCGAGGTATCATATAGTCATCATCCTCGTAAGTTCCCTGCTCCTTCGGTTGGGTCGAAGCTGGTGATTGTGGTTGCTATTTGGCCTCCTATTTTCCCTTCGAATTTGATCCCTTTGCTGATGAAAGTGCCGATACCGGTATTACTTCGTCGATTGAAAACATCTCCTTGGCGGCGGGTTGTTCCCCGTACACTATTTTGACTCCCTCTGATGTCGGGAACTTCAGAACTTGGTAAAGGGTCGAGGGTACTGCCTTCATGTTATGGATCCAAGGCCTTCCGAGCAGTGTGTTGTACCTCATGTCACCCTCGATCACATGGAAAATTGTTTCTTGGATGCTTCCGGCCACGTTTACTGGCAAAATAATTTCACCTTTGGTGGTTTCACTT